TCCATGGATGGTCCCTACCCACTTGAGAAGGTTGTCTGATTCTGGGAAGGCAGCGATTCCTTTGTTGACAGACATCACGGGGGTCATCAGCTCCTGTGGTAGCCTCCTACCCAAGGAACCCTGGGCTGCGCCCCCGCTGGGCCCGGCTGCGGCACTGGCTGCGTCTGGGTCGCGGTTCGGGGAGCCATTCGCTCGGGGCTGTCAGACAGGATCTTGGAAGACTGGCGGGCAACTGCCGGTATAAGGCTTAAAGATGACCTTAGACTAACAGTTTCAGGGATTCAACCAGTCAATCTTTTTTGCAGCTGTTGTTTGTTTTTAATCATTTTATTTGGGGCTCTTACAGCTCTTATCACAATCCATACATCCATACATCCATCATACAGTAAACCTTTTTTTTTAATTGTTTTATTAGGGGCTCATACAACTCTTATCACAATCCATACATCAATTATGTAAAGCACATTTGTACATTCATTGCCCTCATCATTCTCAAAACATCCACTCTCCACCCAAGCCCCTGACATCAGCTCCTCATTTTTCCCCTTCTAACCCGCTCCCCACTCCCTCATGAACCCTTGATAATTTATAAATTATTATTTTGTCATAGCTTGCCCTGTCCGACCTCTCCCCTCACCCACTTTTCTGTTGTCCATCCCCCAGGGAGGAGGTCACATGTAGATCCTTGTGATTGGTTCCCCCTTTCCAACCCTCCCTCTCTCCATCCCCTCAGCATCCAGTAAATCTTAATGGTACCACTTTATTAGAACATCTGTCCTACATTGTGAGATAAAAGAATAAATTAGCACTTCATGAGTACATCAGAACTAAAACTTGATTTCTTTCACTCTATCTACACAGATTTCAGCTGAAGAGATAAAGGATAATAGAGTGGTCTTGTTTGAAATGGAAGCAAGAAAACTGGATAATAAGGTGGGTCACTTGTACTGATTTCAACAAGGAGCTCCTGGTTTTCTTCCCACGGGCTCCCTTTTGAGGAAATGCTGCTCTCCGTTCATAGCCTGGACACGTCTTCGTGAGCATCAGTTAGTGCATCAACTGTGGCCCTTTTGCTTTTCGTTGGGCTTTTTGTTGCAGTGAAGACTCCCCTCGCCGTTCTCCTCTGAAGGAAATCAGAGGATTTGTCTAGCTTAAAACAGGGATCGACTATAAGCATTTTTGTGCGAGAGCATATAGTTGTATTACCTTTAAGAAATGAAACACCAGTGTATGCTTTTTAATTATAAGCAGTTATCATCTTTGCATTCAAGCATCAATATTTATTTTGAAGGATGATTAATAGTATATTAGAGGGCTTCAAAAAGTTCTTGGAAAAATGGACTTAAAAGATACGATGTGGAAAAAAAATACTATGTGTTTATATAACATATCTATAGGGTTAACTTTTATATGTATTTAGGAATACCAAAGAATATATGTGTGTGTGTGTGTGTGTGTGTGTTGTGGATGATAATGATAATGAAGGTAATTTCAAACATTTACTATTTGAGTATTGTATATGGCTACTCTGGTGAACTACAATAGAAAATAGAAAATGTAATTTATATCCTTGAAATAATTCTATTCCGTATTCTACACGTCTACTTGCTCCCCTGTATGCGCAAAGTGCATTGTATAGATGAAATGGTATTGAATGTAGTAGAGTAAAATAAGAAGTCAAGGTTCCAATCCATTGATTAATTATATATCTGATCTTAGAAATCATTAAATACCTCTAAATTAATTTTTTCTTTATAACTGACATGGTCACCTTAGAAGTTGGTTTGGCCAATGTGTGAAATAGCAATTATATGAAACTATCCATGAGTAAGGAGCCTTGGTGGTGGAACAGGTTTTACATTAGGCTGCTAACCACAGGGTCAGCAGTTCAAAACCACCAGCCGCTCCACGGGAGAAAGATGAGGCTCTTTTTTTAAAAAAAACAAAAACAGTTCCGTTGACACTTCATGACATGTCATATAATTCAAGAATTCAATCATACCAGGAAGAGTTGTACAATTATCACCACAATCAATTCTAGAACATTTTCTTCTTTGTTGTACTCACTGTAATTCATGCAATTATTTTTTAATTGTGGCAAAGCAGGATGAGGCTTTGTATTCTTTCTGTAAAGATTTACAGTCTCAGAGCCCCACGGGGGCAGTTCTACCTTGTTCTGTAGGGTTACAGTTGCTATTGGGAACCGACTCTGGCAGTGAGCTTAGGTTTGGTTTCCACTGTGTTGTTACTTAAAGCCTGAGCAGTCTTAGGATGGATGCTCACCCAGTTTTCTCAACACGTCATCCACAGTCACAATAAGTCCAGAACAGCTTCTCCTGTTAATGGGCCCTTTTTGTCTTTATATTTGAAAGCTGTTGTGTTTTTTAGCAGTATGGGTGTGATGGACAGGAGCATGAGTATTAGCCCTAAAACCGTAGCATAAGGGGACTTCAAAGGACTTATGGGAAATTTTTCCACCACCTTTTGGAAGCTCTTGTGTAGTTTTCCCAAATAAACTTACTAAGTTTATGTTTGTGAGGAAGGTGACAGGATTTGTATGCAATGTCACTCCATAGCTCTACTATAGAACCAGACTTCCGGTGGTTGTTAACATGTACAAAATATGGTTACACATGGTTTCATAGGAGAATATTTTCTTTAAATTTTTTTTTATTGTAGGATCTATTTGGAAAGTCAGATCCATACCTGGAGTTCCACAAACAGACATCTGATGGAAACTGGCTAATGGTTCATCGAACAGAGGTATATGTCTGAATTTGACAAGTGGGGTGGAGGCGTCTATTGGAATTGTAATATTTTCAGTGTTTTGCCTAATTTTACCTATTTATAAAGATGCCAATCTGATTACAGACTTATATACAAGTGACTGGAGGTCAATACCATCACTTACCCTTTTTTTTCAATCAGGAGGTGTTACCATGCTTAATTATATGTAATTTTCAAAACTATTTTAAAAAAATTCTAAATGCTGTAAGAATTTAGAAAACCATTGAAATGTATACTTTCATCATACCCCTTACCTAGATTCACCAAGAGGTTATAACCTAACATGCACATGTTCTCTCTCTCTCTCTCTCTCTCTCTCTCTCACACTCACACACACACACACACACACACACACACAGAGCCTTGTACAAAGCCATCCTATTGCAGGTGGCAAAGACATCAGGAGTCTTCATCTTTAAAGGTTACTGCTGGAATCTCTCCAGAAGAGGGACTTGCTCCTATTCAACCACATTTTAGAAAATTAACATTGAAATAGTCAAATCATCCAAATGTGAAGATGTGATTCCTTTTCAGATTCTGCAGTTGTTTTAAAGATACTGTATATACTTAAGTATAAGCCAACCCGAATATCAGCCGAGGCACCTAATTTTACCACAAAACTGCATAAAAACTGTGCTGAATAACTCAGCTTGTACACGAGTATATATGGTATCTTGTTTTTGTTTGTTCACATCACATTTAGCTATTATGGCCTTGATATAGGACATTTTATTCCTACCTTCATGCCACTGAATCTCTTGAATTATCAAGGCCAGATTGTTTGACTTTCTGGCTTCTGTTTCCTCACCATTAGATCCAAGTCAACATTTTTGTCAAAAAATGCTACATGTGCCCTTCCCTCTGCATCATTAGGAGCCCATAGTCTTAGAGTGACCTGTATTGGTAACACTAAGGATGCCTACGTAAGCTGTTAATTTTTATTTTGAAACAGGGTGACTAACTGGTAACCCAGGATTTCACCCAGTGGTGTTAGCATCAATTAATGATCCTTAAGTGACGTAATTAGTACATAGGTGCTTAGGCATTTATTTTCTAAGTCCTCTATTTCTCTTATAAATATTAGGCATTCTCATTCCTATCTTCCTGCTCTCTTTTTTATTTCTAGTACCACTGTAAATTTAAAGATTTCGGTTGAGATTAGGTATTCATTGTGTTAAACTCTGTTATAGTTATTATTTATGCTGTTCAAATGAATACACATTTGATCAAGGGAAGCGTTGGGTGCTGTTAACATGGTCCTATTAATATCGAAGCAATATTTTACTTCACGTTCAAGTATGTTCTCAGCTCATTTTACTTTTCCCATCACAAGTCTGGAATCGGCCATTTATTTTAAGGAGCTTAATTTTTTAAAGAAAGGATAGTATTTAGACACTAGGTTTCGGTCATTACTATTGGTAGGTCAAGAGCCCTTCCTGGTGATGTAATAGTTATGTGTTGGGCTGTGATCCTCAAGGTCGGCAGTTTGAAACCACCAGCAGCTCCTCACGAGAAAGACGGGGCTTTTTACTCCTACAAGCAGTCACAGTCTCAGAAATCCACATTAGGGTCATTATGAGTTGGCACTGCCTGGACGCCAGTGAGTGAACTTGGTGTGCCATTGCTTTGAAGTGTTTTTATTGGACACAGGTGACAAACACCTGTTTCTATTATGCTGGTAGGAGCTATCAAGTCGATTCTGTTGTTTATGAAATACTGTTTCATTCTGTGTCATCCTCCCAATTATTGTTACGTTTGAGCCCGTTGTTGTAGCCACTGTGTCTATCCATCTCCTTTTTCCTAGTCCTCTAGTATACTAAGCCTGAAGTCCTTTTCCAGGATCTAATACTTCCTGATAGCGTGTGAAAAGTGTATGTGATGAAGTTTTGCCGTTGTTGCTCCTAAGGAACATTCTAGTTGCATCTCTTCTGAGATAGATTTGTTTATTCTAGTACTCCATGCAGTCAGTGTTCTTCACCAACACCATAATGCAAGTGCGTCAGTAATCCTGTGCCTTTCCTTCTTCACTTGTGTAGCTTTCACACGCATATGAGTCCATTGAACATGCAGGACTGGGGTCAGACATGCCTGACCCCAAGTGACAGCTCTGCTCCTCAACACTTTACACAGCTCTCTTGCAGCAGGTTTGCCTGGTGGAAATATCATTTCATTTCCCGGCTGCCCTTTGCAAGGGTATTGATTGTTGACCCAAGTAAAATGAAATTTTTGGCAACTTCAACATTTTCTCTGTGTACCATGATATTGTTGCTGATACGGTTGTGAAGAATTTTGTTCTCTCTGTACTGAGTTATAATCCAAACTGAAGGCATCAGATTTTAATCTTCATCAGTCAGTGCTGCAGGTAGGTCCTCTTCCCTTTCAGCAGTGAGGTGGTCTTCTCTGTATACAGAGCGTTGTTAATGAGCCTTTTCCCAATCCTAATGCTGCGTCTTCTTCCTGTAGTTCAGCTTTCAAACCGTTCAGTATCCTCTTCATCTCTTCAAACTACTGGTCTATGTAGATACTTCAAAGAGCACAATTAGCTGTTCTTAGGTTCCCATTCTTTGTCATGTTATCCATAGTTTGCTTTGATCTGTTTGTTATGACCATAGTTTGTTACAACATTTGTATGGTCAATTAAACACAAATAAACATCTTTGTGGTCCCTTCTGCTTTCAGCCCAGATCCGTGTGCTAGCCCTCATTCCCCGCCATCCTTGAATGGGCTAGAATTCAAAGTCTCATCCAGGCGGTTGCAACTGTCTTTGAATTATCTAAAGCAAAACTTTACTGTCTGTGATATTAGTGACATTGTTTGACATTCTCCTTACTTGAGTCAGCTTCCTTAGGCGTGTGCACACATCCGGTCTCTTCCAGTCAGCTGTCCCTTTAGCAGTCTTCTAAATTTCATGGCATACAGGCGCGAGTGCTTCTGCGCGGCATCCGTTAGTATTTTTCCATTTCTGGAGTCTGCTCCATTAAGGGGACGGCGTGACACGTGCTGTTGTCAGTTACCCAGTCCCCTCTGTGTCCCAGTAGCTCCCCTCTGTGTCCCAGTAGCTCCCCTCTGTGTCCCAGTAGCTCCCCTCTGTGTCCCAGTAGCTCCCCGCAGGGACGTCATCCTCTGAGCCTGGTGTGCCAGCATGGGGTCCAGTCTGGCTCTCTTTCTCTTCCTCCCTCCTGGCCTGCCTCCGTGTGGGTGTGGCATGCTGGCCCCTCTCCCCAACCTGTAGGTTCAGTGCTGCTCTCCGCCACACCCACTTCCCGGCAGGGGTCAGTTTGGCTCTGGTTGGGGCCAGCCCAGTAGCTCTCTTCATGCATCCTTGCTTGTGGCCACACTGTCCTCATCGGTTATTTTTTTAGACATCACTTTAGCTATACAACCTTCAAGAGCAAATTTCAGAGTCCGATCTGACATTCACTTTGGTGTTTTTTTCCTGCCTTTTCAACTTTTGTTTACTTTCTTCATGAATGATATTTTTGAGGTCCCAACAACTCTTGTCTTTGGTCATTAGTGTTGGGTGCACCAAATCTATTATTGGGTTGGTCTCTCACTTCATACAATACTAGGACAATGATGCAGTCTGCTTCCATTACATTTCTAGCCTCTGAAGGCCTGGGGGGCAGTTCTACCCTAGCCTGTAGATTTTCTATGGGTTGGAACTGACTTTACGCCAGTGCATGGTTTTTACACTGAGAGAGTTGAGTGAATGAAGAGGTGAGTCTTGCAAGGGCCTATAAAGGCCAAGAGCAAAATGTTAATGAAATAGATATTTTTCTAAACTGATCTTTGAAACTTCATTTTTATAGGTTGTTAAAAACAACTTGAATCCTGTGTGGAGGCCTTTTAAAATCTCTCTTAACTCCCTGTGCTATGGAGATATGGACAAAATTATTAAGGTAATTTGACATTACACAGATGTATATAAAGTATAATTATTATACATAATGTAGTTTATACATGCATACACAATTACCTGTTTTATAAAATTAATTGATTTAGATAGTATTAAAGAAAGTTAGTGGTATTATAGATACCTGTAGAGTTGAATTTTGTTTTATATTTCAACCCCCTCCCCCCCCACAGCAACCTCACTGTCAAATCTCAGAGTGCTAAAATGGAAATATTTTATGAGTAGATTAGTTATTTTGAAGGAGTAGACATGTTTGACCACACTGTTGACCTGTTTAATCAAACATTGTGATTTTATTATATATATTTTAAAGTAACATGTTTAATTTAAACCTTTCTTCTTTTAAAGGGTTATTTTTGTTGCTTTGGGCAAAGGAACTTTAGCTGCATTTCTTGTCCCAGGTGTGCTTTTGGCAGATACAAGGAGGTCTCACCCCAACTCTGAGGCTAGAGCTTCTCTCTTCCATTAGCAAGATAGCAGAATAGTGATGGATGCGCCTCCCCATTTCAGAGTGGAGATGTAATTCGCTGGAGACTTTTAGGCTTTAGTTTTAAAGCATTAGGGATGGTAGAGTGGGAAATGGAAGTAACAGTAACAGCATTTTCTCAGGTTTGCTTTTTTTAAATTTCTATTTATCTCACTTAGGTTTCTCCCCCAATATTTTAAAGACATTTTTATACTAGAGGCATCTTAATATGATTCCAGATAAAAGCCCCCCTCCCCAGCCCAGCCCCCCTCAAGGTTCAGAGGTCAGCAAATGGAGTTTTGCTTGATAGTGAAAGTAGGAACAGGAACGTTGTGGAACAAGCATAGAATATGGAATGAAACCCAGTTGAGTCTTGGCTTAGCCCTTGAACCAGCCAAGGGGCCATACATAATTTCTTCATTTACATAATGGATGCAACAGTGCTTTTCTTCCTAGAAAGGAAGGAATAAATTAATGATAAATACAAGTTTTGTAAATTGCTTAGCATAGTACAGATATCATTATAATTACAAGTGGCTTCTCGTCTTTGATCTATAAACATTTGACCTCCATTTGCAGAGAACATTAATAAACAGTAAAAGTATAATTTCTGTGGTATTTCGAACAGCATTGGAAATCTTGGGACAAAATAATCAGAATGTTAAAAAATCCTCTGTATGGTTGTATCAAATCCAAGACTTCTGCTTCTCACAAGAAAAGTCACAAATTGAAGCGTCATTGAATCTGCGAGGTCAGGAAGGGCTGGGGAAAAGGTGACTGAGCCATAACTCTTTCATTGTTTGTAATGATGTGTTAACAGTGAATCAATGTTCTTACGTTTCTTTCGCTCACAGTGACATGCGTACAGGGTATTTTATTATAGTAAGTAACCGAATTTACTCAGCTCCTCTGATGAATATCTTCCATCCTTAAAAGTTTCTCAGTTTGTTTTGAATTGCACACAACTTGATTTGTTACATCTATTTTTTTTTAATTCTCTATTTTGTTGCAATACTAGAAAGTCATACATCTGGTTTTCCTGGTGTTTGGAAATTGCTGGAGGTAAAGCGTTTGAGAGCAGGGGTCAGAGTCAGTTATTGGTCATTTATGTGTTGCAGTGTTAACAAGTCAGTGCTGCTACTGTAAGCCCCAAACCAAACCTGCTGCTGGCAGATCCATTTGACTCAGAGTGACCCTATCTAGGGGTTCAGAGGCTGAAATCTTTACAGGAGCCCAGAGCTTCATCTTTGTTCCGCCGAGTGACTAGTGGGTTCACACTATTGATTTGGAGGTTAGCAGCCAATGTGTAATCCACTGTGCTATTACTCTAACATGTATGATTCCTAGACTCAAGTATATATGAGAAATACTCATGCATGCTGCCACCTTGTCTAAAATGGGAATGCTTTAGTGAATGTAGTATTGTGGTGTGAGTGTCTGTTCATTTGCATATATACATATAAAGATATATATATATATGCACACATTTAAATTTCACAAGCATTGCTGATAATGTTTAAATAGCCAGCAAGTACTGGTTTTTGAATTCTTGAGGTAGAGAATTTAAATGATATAAATTATTATATATATTTTAACAACATATATTTGAACTAACATCAGTATTATAAATGCTGTGTCTTTCTTTAACTCCAAATATTTGCCCTCAGAAGGGCAATAGCATTTCCTATGAATTTAATCAGAAATATCAGTTTCAAAATATTTTTTACATTACTTAAGTTGCAGGCAGTATAAACTTAGGAACAAATTTAGCCCACCACAAGCTTTGTTTAAATGAAATACTGGCTGTATCAAAGCTTGATTTTTATCTTAGGTATAAATTGAAGTTCTTGAAATAAAAACCTAAAATGTGAAGTTCCAATTCCCATAACTGAAACATCTCTTAAAAAGCATGAAATTATTAAAATGTTAAGAGTTTATTTCCTACTTTAACTTAATCTTGGTTTACCTGCAAAAACTGATAAAGTCATTAATTTTCTTTCTACACATTAAGTCAGATGCGGTCTAAGCATTGAACACCAACTATGTAGGAGAAAGTTTTCTGATGGTCAGAAATGAGCAGGCCTGAGTGCCTTGCACTGATTTCTTTAAACACGATTTAAAGGCCTTACTGTTATTCTCAATGGCAGTCCCAGATTTGCCATTTTCTAATGATTGGTCGATTTTTAGTCCTTTTGAATAAGAACGAAAATACAAATGAGGAATGGTAGACTTCCTGTGATGGACAGCATACAGTTCGCAGAATTGAGACAAAAAGAAATCACTTAGTCAGATGCATGTATTTTAGCATGTGATTAATGCGCCTTTGTGGCAGACAGTTTGCTAGATGGAAGTACCTATTGATTGAGGGTAAATGCAAATTGCTTCTCCAACATAAGCTGTTGTCTTAAAGCACAGGGTCTAAAAGGACTAGAAGTATCGTCAGCAGAGCTTTACGCTCCCTGCATTGGCCACCACGCAAAGCACACTGCCTTTCAAGACTTTTCCTTAATGCCTCTAGGTTTTAGTTTTGCAAAATAGGGACAATCCTAACAGAATCCCACCTGCCTTCTTCACAAGGCTCTGTAGAGAGCGTGCACATGCACCTGGTAAATGCTTGCAGAAATGAAAGAAGCTGTACAAGTTTTGGCTACGGAACGGTTCCAATTAGGGTTGCTTTTCAGCTTCCCTTGGACACCCTGCTTGCTAGCAGTTCACACCATCGTATGCTTCCCCTTGCAGGGAATGTCTAGTTGTTCCAGTAAACACTTACTCTCTGACGCTGTCTTTCCACTTGGCACAAAACTGTGTTCATATCAAATATTCCTCATTTGTCTGCTTAGCTGCTCAGGAGGAGAGCCTTTAATGAGACCCAGAACTAAGACTAGACCTCACAGTATATTAGAACAGACAGAAATAGAATAAATATGCTAATTCCTCAGTAGATTAAGTACTCTTTCCCTGGATCTTTTCTTTTGATCCTCTGAATCATACAAATCTGACTTTATTTCATTCTTACAAGACAAGCTTTTCCAGATTGCAGCTCAATAAATACATACGTGTTCCTTAAATCTAGGCCACCTAACACTACAAGATACAATTTTTAATTCCCTAAAATGTTCACTTTCTTTCTCCAAATAATGGTTTGTAGTCACAAGATACCACAGGATGAGAAAGGAGATGTCATTCCATTTTGCCCTTTCTCACTACTTGAAATGGATATGATATTGGAGTCCGAAGCTGCTGAATGTGGAATTTAAAAATACTGTGTTTCTCATTTGCTTGTGATCTATACTAGAACCCTATTCCAAGGATGGCTGTTGTTGGAAAGGATTTCAGTACTTTAGGAAGTTATTCCCTATTAACTTCCTAAGTAGTAAACATTCTCAGTTATTTTTATTAAAAAGACATTTTTTCCATTTATTGTAACCAATCCATCTTAAGAGAATTATGTTGATTGTGTATGTTTTAATTTCCAGGTAGAGTGTTATGATCATGACAATGATGGGTCCCACGATCTCATTGGGATATTCCAAACCACCATGACAAAACTGAAAGATGCTTCCCGAAGCTCACCGGTAAGTTACAGGTTTGTCATGTGCGCATATATTATTGTGGTATGAGTTTGTATTTGTTTTCCCCCTCTGAGCCCTCTTGGTATGCAATGAATATTAGTAGCATAGTGGATTAGGCATTGGGATGTTAACCGCAAGGTCAACAACTTGAAATTGCCAGCCCTTCCATGGGAGAAAGACAAGGCTTTCTAGTCTGTAAAGAATTGTCGTCTCAGAAGCTCACAGGGGGGCAGTTCTAGGGGCCCCATGAGTTAGAAGGGACTCAGTGGCAGTGTGTTTGTTTTAGTATGTAAACATTTGCCCATATTTTTAGCCGTTCCCACATATAATGCTCTGAAATCTGGGTTTTATTTGTGTAATAATTAGGTAATCAGAAATGTATATGTGCATAAATTTACATTCTATTTAGGGGTTTAGTTTCCTTTGGCTTGATGAAAGATTTTGGCATTTTATTGGTCACGGTAATTATTTACAACATTGGCTAAATACCATGGCTTAAGGTTTTAATTCTCTCTCTTGTCTCTTCCTTCTGACTTGTCTTAGCCCAAGGGAAGGGTAGTAGCACGATTCATAGTACCTCCAATTATTTAATATTAAGCTGCCCGCTAACAGCTCTGATTTTGTTTGCATGAGATATGTTGTTAATTTCCTTTGTAGCTTAGTCATAGTGGAATAATATGTTTTGTTTATCAGCTGCCCGGGACCCTGAGTAATGCACATGCACATAGCAGGTGCTTCAAAAAAAAAATTAAGAGGTTATCACTAGGTGAGGACTTTTATTTAGCTTTGTCTGGCTGAGGTGACTTAAAGGAGGATTTTGAGAATTTTAGATCAAAATTGAAAAACTGAATTTAGAAGAAACATTTGATCTCCACAGGGGAGTGGTAAGTTGTACGGAAGCACTCTCCACAGGGGGAGTGGTAAGTTGTAAGGAAGCACTCTCCACAGGGGGAGTGGTAAGTTGTACGGAAGCACTCTCCACAGGGGGAGTGGTAAGTTGTACGGAAGCACCGTGGACGAGATGATTTAGCAGGCACAGCAAGATCGCTAGTTATGCGCCTCACTTTGAGCTACCACTGTTTGAAATGAGACAATAGCCAGAGTCAGGGGTAAATAACCTATTTAGGGAATTTTTTAAAAGACAGGGCTAATGGAAAGTAGTGACAATTGAGACATTTAAAATAAAGCAGGGCTAGCTAACCTAAGAGTCAAATACGAAATAGTGGCCTGGATTTGTGTTAGACTGGACTGTAGCGAAACAAAGCCAGTGGCACTCGTGTATGCACAGGAAATTGCTTTGTAGCAAGAAGGCCTCCCAGCCCGGTCCACCTCAAGTGCATGTGTCCATGCAAGCTGGGGCCCTCTTCAAGCGCACGTAACTGCCGGACAATGACACAGCAAGGTGAAACCCAGGCTAGTGGGTGTAGAGCTGCACAGGTGCACAGTCCGTGGAAGGAGGGCTGGGATGCAATAGTTCTCAGGGCGAGTGCTCCACAAAGGCCACCCTTGGAGGCAGGTAGAGTCCTAGCAAGCAGGAGAGGGAGAGAGAGATAGAGAGATGGAAGTTCCTCGTTCCTCCCTTATACAAAGGCCACACCCCAAAGGAAGCGCCATCAGGCTGTGACCTGATTGACAGACTGGATTCCACCCCTATACTTTGGTTCATATTTAAGTGAACATAAAATCTAACTGCCACACATGTTTCAGTTTCACATTTCCAGACTTGTGAAATGCCCCGCTTTTGGTGGATGAGGCGAAATTAGCGATTGTATAATTCTTTTATGGGTCACCAGGAGATTTCCTAAATCCTGCTCACTCGGTTCTTCTCATCCCCTTTGACAGAATGAGGTCTTTGGAATATTTCTCATCTTTTGTGTTTTCATTTACTGCCAGTTTCTGCCACTTGGTAGATACTCTGTCAGTGGGTAATGAAGACAGGGAAGTAATTCAGCTTTTTACTAATGAGAATCCTGCTTACAACATTTCTATGTCTCGAATATTTAATCATGAATGTTTATGATTTCAAAGAACTTGTTTAATTTTATTGTCATGGGACTGAGCTGCTTCTTAATGTTTTGATTCTTTGAAAATTGGTGATGACTGTGGAAATTACTGATGGTGCTGTCTGTTAACCAGAGGCGGTGACTGACCGAATGCTCACCGAGGATCTATTTTGTTCTTCTTGTTAGGCCAGACAGTGAGGATTTGGAGATACAATGTGAAGGCAGTTATACTGTAGTTGAGAAAATGAACAAAATGATATAATTGAGGATACTAGAGAGCATGTCACGAAATGCTATCTGTTTAAAGGGATGGATGGCGATGATAGAAGATGAGCATTGTCTTAGATAAAGGCATCAGAGAAGAGGTTGATTTGAATAAAGTCTTGAAATATTAATAGATGGATAAAAGGTTGAAAGCCTGGTCCTATTGTTTGAGCAAAGGAACTATACTGAGAATTGTCATGCATCAGACTTATTTGTAGACATACTCCCTGTGGAGAGATAATAGAGTTGCATATTCAAATATTCCTATTTCTGATAGTAGGTTTCTCAGTCTCTTTCTAAATAGCATATTCTTGCTCTTTGTGTGGATAACAAGGGGGGTGAACGTTTTAGTTCTGTACCATAAAAAGGAAAGGTGATACCGAAAGAAAGTTTATATTGGGGAGTATATAATTTTCCGTGTACTTTAATTGTTGGGAGATTAACGGATATACATAGGGGAGCCTCAAAAAGTTTGTGGAAATGGAATGAAAAGCTAATGGGATTTTTTCCATGAATGTTCTGAAGCCCCCTAGCATTTCACATGTGTCATACGTTATTTTCAAATTGTTTCAAAGTGTTTTTGGAGCATGCCTACATCAGAAGGTGGTTTGATTCACTTTGACATTTCTAACAGTGCTAGTAAAAATTAATCCTTTGTGTAGTCTAATTAGCCTTTCCACACTTTTTCACGTTGTAGGTCTATGTATCCACATGCAGATTATTGTTATTACTGGTCTTGCGGGATTGTGTGTAATAGACCAGTACACTTGTGGCCTTTGACTTAGTGTCCTCATTTGTCTGGGTCAGTTTGCCTGCCCTCCCCTTAACCGTACATGGCCTTCCCCTGCACCCAAGTTCATATGTGCCTAACCTCTAGTTAGTGAGTTTTCCTCAAAATCATACAAAAAGAGCCAGGCTTACTGGTCAGATGGAACACCCCCTCCCCCCCGCCCCCCCAAACCATGGCCTTTAATACCCCTTTAAGCCTGGCACTGTGTTCACCCCTCTGGCTCAACTTTCAGCTAAGCAAGGACAGGCCTTTAAGGTGAACAATAGCACTAGGGAGGTACACAATCCTTAGAACAGTCAACCATTCAACCTCAAAAGGGCAGTAGCAGAAGGCTGGAAGGACTAGGACAGAAGAGCCCATGGAAATGGGAAACACGGGGGTAGTGTTACATTATAGGGATTGAAATCAGTGACATAAAACAAGATGTGTATGAATTGTTGAAGGGAAAACTGATTTGCTCTGTAAACTTTAATGCAAAACAATCTATAAAAAGTTTTAAGCATGAACACTTTGCCTTCTCTTTGTACAGATTGAATTTGAATGCATAAACGAGAAAAAGAGGCAAAAGAAGAAAAGCTACAAAAACTCAGGTGTTATCAGTGTGAAACAGTGTGAGGTCAGTTTGGTTTTAGCCACTTACTGGACTTTAACTAGAATGTAATGGTGATTTCTCTGTTTACATCACGTGCTGTTCAGTGAACAACTTGTGTCATGAGCTGTTCTGTTTACAAACCTATCCTACTACTAGGAGACTTAAAATCCTGACACTTTGGATCTTGTTTTCAGATTACAGTGGAGTGCACGTTCCTTGACTATATCATGGGAGGATGTCAGCTGAATTTTACTGTACGTAATACCCTGACTGGGTTTTTCAAAACTGCCTATACCGTGCCTCTTCCGTGTGCCGTGTTGTTATTTGACTGTGAAACTGACTTTGATGAGATCTATGCAGTCTGTGTATCAGGTTTCCTTTGACAGGTTGTCTCGACTTATCATAGAGCCTTCAGCTCTGTTGATATGATCTGCTGTTCCTGAGAGAAAGCAGATTTGTACAAACGCGTGGTTGTCCCGCAGTGATTTGAGTAACAGAAAACAGTCCAACGAAGATACCAAAACATCTCCTTAAGTCTAAGCCATGGATTTAATTTAATTTAATTCATGATTGAAGGCAGTTAGAAATGTAGCAATAGCTGATTGTTTCAGGAGACCAAATGGAAGTGTTTAGGTGTTTAATTGTCTGTGGAAATACTAGTAGGCAGAGGCATTTTGTTAGGAAATGAAAGTTGCCTCTGTGATTGTGTTTTGTCTCTGGAGTTTATTTTGGACATCGACGATGTGTCCCTGCCTTCTCAGTAGTAAAGCCTGCAATTGCTCTTTGGCAGGTGGGAGTGGACTTCACTGGCTCCAACGGTGATCCAAGGTCTCCTGACTCCCTTCATTTCATCAGTCCCAATGGTGTTAATGAATATTTGACGGCCATCTGGTCCGTGGGATTGGTCATTCAGGATTATGATGCGTGAGTATGGTTTTTGAAAAACTAAAATATTATCTTCATTACTCCAATAGGGCTGTTCATATTTTATGGACTACATAGATGGTGGTGATGAGATATTGGAAGGAAGTAGTTTGCTATTCAAAATTCTTGTCTTGTTTATTCTACTATAAATCATAGTTACCTATAAGATAGGCTAGAACTACCCTTGTGAGTTTCCCAAACTAACTCGTTATGGGAGTAGAAAGCCCCATCTTTTTCCCTGATGGTTTCGAACTACCAACCATAAGAATCGAAGCCCAGTACGGAACCAGTACACTGCCAGGGCTTCTAAGCGATAATAGGAAATAAGGGCAATAAGAAAGCTGTCTGTGTCCTTATGTCTACAGAGAGGAAAGACTTTGACCTTACACATTGTCTTATTCATCTTGTGATGCTGCAGCAGAAAGACTGCAAGTATACGTCTTTAACAAACAGAAATTTATTCTCTCCCTGTCTAGGAGACCAAGTTCAGGGTATCAACTCTAGGACAAGACTTTCTCCCTTTTCCGGCTATGTGGGAAGGTCCTTGTCTCCTCTAAACATTTGTGAGTTCTGTATATCTTGGAGATTTCCATTGACCTTGGAGATTCCCAAATGTCTTGGTATAAATATCCCCCCAAGTCTGGATGTTCTCAGTGCAGGAATTCCTGGCCACAGGACTTGTTCCGTTCCACCTCTTCTTTCTGTGGATAGTAAGGTCCCTCTGCTCTGCTGGCTTTTCTCTGCCTTATGGCTTATGGAGATGATGAAGGCCACACTCCTTGGCCACTTCCCGTGTATCAAGACTGTGAACTGAATAAGGATATTGCGTCCTGCTCTGATCCCCTTATAACCCTGGGATGGTCACATCATTGCATAACTGGGAAATAACATCATCACATGACTGCCAAACTGCTGAGAATCATGGCACAACCAAACTGACCCATATTTGGGGGACACCCAAATCAATCCATGGACATATGCTTTTATTTTTAAACAAGGAGAACTGAATATAAGTTGGCCAGATTTTTTTAAACGTAATATTAAAGAATTATCTGTTGCCATGAAGTGTATTTTGACTCCTTAAAACCTTGTAAGAAAGAGTGGAATTGTCCTATAGAGTTTCCAAGTCTGTAATCTATATGGAAGCACACTGTCACACCTTTCTGCCATGGGACCGCTGACGGGTTTGAATTAGTTAACAGCTGAGCACTTTACCACTGGGTCACCAGGGTTCTTTAAATTCAAGAATAGGAAGAAAAATTAAAAACACTAAAATGCTAGTAAATTCTATATAAATGTTCATTATAATGTGTCAGGGACAAATTATAATACTCACTTGCTCCTCATTCTTCTGTGTGAGAATGGCACTGTTAGTATCTGCACTGTGTGGATAAGGATGCTGAGGTTAAGCACCTTTCTCAGTTCATTTAAGGAGTAACTTGCAGTCAGGATTGAGCTCACGACAATGAATCATCAAAGACGTAGAAAAGTAAAAGTAGAATGTCCCAGAAGTAACTGTACTGTCAGGAAGGAAAAGTTGGTATCAGATGGATAATAGAGGCATGTTTGACCACTGCCTTGTGGCAGTAGGGGAGCCAAAGGGGGTCAGATATGACCTACATGCCATACAATCAAACTGATTAATTCAGTGAGGAATTTAATATTTTTATCATTCTTATTACAATAATCTCATTACATATTTGTCCTGTTATTATATTAATATCATATTAAGTTTCCTTCTTTGTTCTTCAGTATAATTTCATAGTTTTCTTAATAATGATTTCATTCCTTAGTTGTATTGCTAGCATGCGCTATGCTATTTTATCTACTTTAATTTTCTCAATGGATTGAAAAAAGTATCTCTATTTCACATTGTACTTGGCCATCTTTCTGAATTCTTATTACTTTCTCTCATTTTTTTGGGTCGATTCTCTTAGGTTCTACTTGTTCCTTATAAGGTTGCTGGAGTTTGTATGTGAAATTATGTTGGCCTGGTCCTGTTGTGCAGAAGGTTCTTTGATACCTGTTCCATCCTTTCATGGTTCTTGATCTATTTGAGTTTTCTACCTCTTTAGGTCAATGTTGGTAATCTACAGCTTTCTAAATAAATGTGCGCCACTGTTGACTCTTCTTCCAATGGCCCCTGGGTTTCTCTCTGTAGTTCTGAGATAGCTCTTAATACACAGATGTCAGAATAACCAGCCTCTGACAATCGTGAGGGGACCATAGACACAATTGTATGGTTATAATATATAAAGATTATAATAAAGTCATAGAAGATAGGGAAGGTAGGAGAGAAGATAGAATAAAGGAGTTAGACACATTTCATGGTAGCATGCTCACCTCAGCCCCTCTTGGTGGTCCATGTGGAGGTGGGAGAGGAGAGGAGGAGAGAGAATATATTTCTAACCAAGGCTTATATATACTTAGGGGTGTGCAAGCCCCCCTGATTACAGGTAACCACATATGTCACAGGAAGGGGTTGTACCATAGGCAATAGAGCAATGGGAAGGGGACGATCTAGGGGTGTACACTCAATAGGACGAGGAGGGATTAGAGGTACACATGTGACAAGATGGGTGGATCCTAGAGTCAAGATGGCAGCCTAACCTTGGTCCTCCTGGGGTTGGCTTGACCTATTCTGAGCTTTCCTTCAGGAAAGCAATCCACTGTCCTTGTCTCAGTAGGGTGTGAGCCTTACCTATGGTGGGACAGACAATAGGGTCTGATTGCTCTATGTGGCTGAATGACCTCAGGGAGATCATCTCTAAGCAGCTGACCCCCCCACCCCCACCCCCACCCCCACCCCCACCCCCCGCATGAGCTAAGTAGCAAGCTGTTGACAACCTGGGGGAAAACCTTTCCGTATCCCACACGGAGGAATGGCTTAGATGGCGCATATCCCCAAGGGAACAAAGAGTAGTGACATGGTTCATACCCTCTAGTAAAGTGGAGATTTAATACCACTGTCGTCCTGTCCATTCCTTTAGCAGAGACCTCTCTCCAAAGTGGGATTGTAACCACAAGCATAGAAGCTGGAATTTATAATACATCACAAAGGGAATTATGGCTAGAAGGGTCATAGTAATTGACTATCTCTGAAGTATTAATCAAAGTTCCAGTGGAACCCTGACAAAATGATGAAGGGAAAGTGAATCAAAATTTGTAATTTTTTTTAGAGAGGGGAAGAAACGACAGGAGAATTTTCCCTATCAGACATATAAATTTAATGTTAAGCTCTATCAAGGAGTATAAACTGGATAAATGATTAATGGAACCAAACCGGCAGTGGGGAAATAGACTTGAGTGCATATTCTCAATTTAGTGCACGATAGAGATGTTAGTTTAGACAGGAGAACAGGGTGTGACTGCTGTCCAATTGGATGAGAAATAAATTTGGATCCCTAGCTCATACCTGAATCAGATACGATGCTATCCTGAATAAATTAAGGGTGTAGACCAAACTGCTGAAAATTAGATACCCCAAAACAAAGGGACTTCGACAACGTTGATGCTCTTTTTTTTTTTCATGTTGCATTTCTACAAGGCAAAGTTTGAAGGGAAGTCTGTCATTGTCAACTAATACTTTGCACCCCAAATCCGAGGCCGCTTCCCTAGTTCTCATTATCTCTAGCCTGTGGACCCTGAGTGGGCGTGGCACATTCCTTTTTATGGGCATGGCTCACAAGTGGCTTACAAATCACTGCTACTCATTTCTCCTTGGCCACACCTAGCTACCTAACCACACTAGCCCACAGAAACTTGGAGTTGTTCTTTCTATCTCAGATGCCCCCATCTGATAAAAGGAAAGAACGGAGATCAGTGGGTAGCAGCAGTTTCTGTCGCTTACCTACTATTCTAGATGAATGAGACAATTTATATAAAAGCAAATGTTGAAGGTTCAAGAAGAAAATATATGTCCTTGTTTGTACACCTGCAGTATGGAGACAAATCATGACAGAATTCATATGTGTTCACATTCATTAATATCAATAGTTTTTGAAAGGGAAATATTTTAAACAAAATTAAGGACAGACTACAAACTAGGAAAAATACTTTAAAAATGTGGCCTAGGTTTTATGCTCGATGCCATCGTAATGATTGGAAATTAATATTTTAAAAACTCCATGTTTATTACAATATTTTATTTTCTATTGCAATATTTTATAATGGTAAGACACTTGAATTTAGCCCACCGTCTTTGAGTTGGATGAAAATATCCACACACAGTGGAATACTTAGAAGTCGTTTACGTGGTACCTATATTCAGGTCCACAGTCCTTATGCTTAAAACCTTGAGGCCAAATATTCATATATTCTGCTTCAGTATGAATATTTATATAGCAATGTGGGAGTTTCATAGTATATGACATTTGTACTATGTTTTTGTGGTAAAAGTATAAATGTTCATATTAAGTGATATAAATAAGATATAAATAACTTGATATCATTAACTTCAGGCTTTACTGCTAAATGTGTTTTCTGAAAACTAATGAAAAACATTGTTCTCCCAACTAATTCACAATGAAAAATTCATGAAACAGAAAAGAAAAAAACCTGAAAAACCCATTGAGGGCCACGTATGGCCTGGGGATCATAGGTTGATCCCTGTCCTATTCAGGAGATAGTCCTCAAGCAGTCAGATCGCCATGTGAACTTTACACTGTATAGAAAAAAGTCAGGTTGCTGACAATTTCAGGCTTAACCGTGAAGACAAAAATGCAAAATTCTTAGAAGAAAATAAGATAAAAATTTTTAGAGTTTTTTGGATTTGCTTACATACCTATTCATTGAATTGGTGTGTAATATTTAAGTAGGAAATAATAGGTTATAAAACATGGCTGTGAACTCCATTGCCATCAAGTATATAGAGATGTTTTTCACCAGGCCTTGAGGACGATGATCCCGATTAGAGCAGCCAATCCACAGAGAGGACAATACGGCCAGCCCCACTATGAGACATGCGCCCCTCACTGACCCATAGCCCTACAGGGGACAGCACCCGAGACACAGTGTGGGAATTGTGCCCGATCTGATCCCACCACACCGAGGCAAAACACTAAGGGGGTGCAACAGAACAGCAAGGGAGCAGAGCGGCGAGGTTCCCAGGGAATGCTGAAGGTGGACTTCGGGGCCAGAGCATTGTGCCCCAACAGACTGGACTGGAAAACACTCCTAAAGGCCAACAA